CCCAAAAAGGTAATTGCTAGCATGACATGACTGATTTGGAATGCTTTGCTACTGTCCTTTTGAGTGTTTACTTGATCATGTGACTACTAAATTACTAATAAACTGGCTGCCAATGCCCTTGTCATATGTTCCAATGAAGGCAACTACCTGGTAGCTGATTTCACATAGCTAAAAATTGCCCAGCTTAAAGCTGGCTATAGACCTACAGATTATCTGCAGATTTTCTATGGTCAGATGGAAAAAAAGTGCAACAGATTCCTCCATCTACGCTAAACTGTGTGGATGGAGGAATCTCTCACTGGGCCAAGCTTCAGTATCTTGCTAGTTGGCCACGCTGGCTCTCAAAACACCTGAACAATGCCTGCATCCAATCGGATTGTTCAGGTATTTTGAGAGCCAGCGGTGCCGACTAGCAAGATACTGAAGCTTGGCTCAGTGAGAGATTCCTCCATCCACACAGTTTAGCATAGATGGAGGAATCTGTTACACTTTTTCCATCTGACCATAGAAAATCTACAGATAATCTATAGGTGTATGGCCATCTTTAGACTGACCTGTTTATTACAGTGGGTAATGAATTAAACAATTCTCTAACCTTTAAAATAAACCTCCTTCTGAGTAGCCACTAATTTCTGATAAAGGCTATTTAGCAGGATGTGTCATGCTGACCCTCTGGCTTAAAGGATAAGTGCACTTTAAAACAAAGTACACTTTTATACTTTTTGCTCCCTGACCTAACCCACCCTCCATGTGTATAAACCTCAATCCAACAGCCATGGTTCCCTTGTTTACATCCAGCACCACAAGTCTTCACTGTCCTGGTCCCACCTGCTCAGCAGTTCCCCATAGAATTTTATAGACCTGTGTGCAAGTGTCTCTGGGACACAGCACCATAGAAGTTTATGGGTCACTACTGCGTGCAGACAGCCAGGACACTGAAAACCTCAGATGTTGGGTGTAAACAAACAGTATAGCTGCAGTCATTGGATTGAGGTAAGTATGAATCTGAGGAGAGGGATGTTGGATTAGTTTTGGGTTCTTTAGTTCACCTATATGTACTATATAATAACATTGAAATCAGTAGTCTTTTTTTTTTTTTCCCAATTAAGCTGATCAAACACAGACTATTTGCTTGGAAACCGGCTTTATTCACTGGAGGGGAAATCAGCAAAACCTCATACAAGGGGACAGGGCAGTCTGGCAGCATCAGCAGGGGGGCTGTAGAAGTAAAAGGGTTTCTACCTGAAAGCTGACTGATGGCTTAGGGAGTGTAAATACATTTCTGGCTGCTATAACACATCAAAAGTCAAAGGTTCGAATTTCGAAACGGACATTGTGTAATACCTTTTTTATTTGTTATTTTATTTCTTATTGAATCAGACTTTTTGTTGTAAGTATTATTGTTTCTTGTGTCTGACAAACAATGTATTCATAGTCTCTAAGGAATGCACTCTAGGGTATTGAAATTCATTGTAAACAATATCTGCAAATAGACTAACAGACGAGTGATGGACCCTTGTGAAAATGTCCCTATAGATCTGATACTAGTTATAAATTAACTTGGTGTGGGGAAATTGAAGATAAGCATTTGACGATAAATTGCTTGAAGAGTTGCAGTTTTTTTTCCCCTTTACGAATTACTTAAATATATTACATACTATTTATGTGCTTCAAAACATTTATAAAACACAGGTAAACAAAAGTGTATATCTCTGTGCTTTTGGTTTGTTTTTTTTCTTATTTGAAAGCAGCACCCAGATTATACATTAAGACTTTACAAGTCACAAAAGTTTAATCAAATATAAACTAAATGAAAAAAAAAAAAATTAGAAAAGCTATATGACAACACAAGATTTATTATGGCCACCTGACCTTTGTAGGGAAATTAGATATAATTTTGTGCTGAAGTTGCTAGAGGGCCAGACCATTATAAATAGGGAAGCAGGTTATTTACCACGACAGTAGAAGTGATTTTTTTTCGGAATATATGGGTAAACAACGCGATTTAACAGCCTTTGAACGTGGGATGATTGTTGGCACTCGGAGCCATGGAGCGAGTATCAGCAACACAGCTGAATTCGTTAAATTTTCAAGAGCAGCTGTTGTTAAAGTGTTTAAAGACTGGACTGTCAGCTGAAAATCTGGGTCTGAACGTGCGAATTGTGGCCGTCAGTGACTAGTCACTGTTAGGGCAGAACGGAGAGTGGCAAGACTGGTACAAGGCAACAGTGCAGTGTCAGATTCCTCGCATGACCTTTCAACATCTCGTGGAGTCACGAAGCGGCCCAACGAAGTACTGATGGGGTGGTCATAATAATCTGGCCACTCTGTGTGTGTGTGTGTGTGTGTGTGTGTGTATA